GCATGGCATGTCAAACCTGCACATTGTCGTCTTCTTAAGCCCCCATCTGCAGGATGGCAATTCCGTCTCCGGTTACCCCATTTGGCTCCGAGCAGCATATCGAGAACGATGGGCAACCCTCCGATCTAGGGAGATGCCCAGCGCACCGGTGAACAGGCAACCCTGCAGCCTGCGTCGCCGACCTCACGCCAACTCAAACGGTAGGATGAGCAAGTCGAATGATTTTACCGCCGAGATTAGTCCTCAATACGTGAGCTTCCGCCTGAATGCCACACAAACTCTACCTTCGCCAACTCCTTCCACGCTAACCGCCGCCCAGATCTAACTGCACATTCAGATTCGCCCCGTGCTAGAACCTCTAAACAGCATCCTGTCCTATCCGAGTCTACGCGGCAACAGGCCGTACCTGCTCCTTCCCGCAACTTTACCTCAGCCTCTCTGACCTTTCCTCACTCTTCCCTATCCTTCATTCTGAGCCTGCCATCCGACTCGCTCGGGGCCAACCCCCCGGGATCACCTCGTACCCCTCCCTATTCTACCTTGAGTTGAGAGCTATGTCCTCCTTCCTCCTCCCTTCAACCCTCGTCCATGGCCACCGCGCACAGATCCCCTTGCCAATCTCCCTACCTACTGACCTTTTGTGAAACTCGAGCCCGCCAACCAAACCACAGTGGTCAAGAACCCCGCCCTGCTTCTCTTACCGACCGGCCCCGTCCAGCATCACACGTGCGGCTTCCGCCCACTCGCGCCACTCTTCCCTTCACCATTTCCTACTTCGAAAGCAACCGGTCACAAACGAGCGCCAGGTTCATCCACCTCCATGCTGTCTTTGTGCAAGGCTCGTACTCCTGGTAAGATTTCCCCCTTCGCAACTACTCTTTCGACACTTCCATCAGCAAGACAAGCCAACTCGGGTGAACCTTTCGTCGGAACTCCGACACACACATTCGCTTGTACGTGTCGGTCGACCCATAAGCCTCAAACCACGCAGTCGCTCACGCGTTACTCACCGAATCTGCAGAACAAGACAGTGTCCTCCACGCGGAGCCGACCCGGGTACGTGTGACTTTTCCCCACCCGTCTACTTCTAAGTCCCTCTTTCTATTGCCAGCCTGCTACTTCGATTCCCCGCTGCCGACTTCATTACAGTGCTTCGCTCTACTCCGCGCCATAGCCTCGCACACTCTGCCTTCCCTACTAACACTCCTTACACTCCCCCACTCCCCAATCCGACTTCGCCACTGCATTCGCAAGCGTCCAAACCCCCCAAATCCCCTTCTCCTTCGCTTAGAACCACCTAGAACCGAGCGGGTTCCTCACCCCTCGCTACGCCCAGCCTTCGTTCCCCATGGTGGCCCCCGCCACCTGGTTGATGTCAACCCGAACTAACGCTCCGCGTCTGACTGCAGCACGCCGCGGCCAGGAGAATTTTCTCGGCGAATAAGCAAAAACCGGTAACAAGTAAACTCCTCCGAACTTATACCCGCCGGCGTGCCCGCAGGGACCATGCTAACCTTCTTTGCATCTTCGGGTCTTACAACTCTGGGAGGGGCTCCTCGACCGGGGCGGCGCCGCGCGGCTCCTCTGAAGGCAAGACGGTCCTCCTTCTACTTTCCCCCCTTGCGCCCGCACCTGACCCTGTCCACATCCGGGTTCATCCCCGGACTCCTCGCGTGTCACCCCCCCTTTTGCGAATCAGCCCTGCCTCGAGGACTGTCCGAGGGACTTTTGGCCGGGGCCTTGCCCCGCACGCTTTCGTCGTTCGAGCAGCCTCCGGTTCCGTCCTGCATCGTCAGCAGGCCTATGTGGATCCGGCCCTTCCTCCGAAAATCTAACCTTCGCCCGGGGCCAGATTCAAACAATCACAAGACTCAGTCCCCACAATTTATTCTACCCACCYATCCCYGTTTTCRTCTGTAYCCGCGCSCGATCYGYGTCCGGGTTCGTTCCGGGCTTATACGATGGCCAACCAGGTCTCCCCAAYGGCCGYGTTAGCAAGTTGGCCGGTCTTGGGGACAAGAGGGAGGGAAGCCACGAAGATTTGATTCTAACTCAAAGATCCCCCCTCCCGTTCGTCTCGTTTCACGGTCGGGTTCAGTCCYGGACTTACATGCGCCAGCCTGGCGCAATAGCCATGTAGACCTCCTCTGCCTCATCCCACAGTTATSGGATACCCCAAATACCACCCGCAACAATCACCCCGTGGCGCCCCCAAGGTATACGGGTATCCCCAACGGAAAGGGCCGCTGGCCTAAGGATGTAGTCGCCAGCCTTCTAAATGGCTCTGGCTGAGCAGGAAAGTTTTGGGGTGGCCCCCAAAGGGGGACCATTTAGAGGGGAAAGCGAGCCGCGGGTCCTACCAATCCTCCCATAGCCTTGCGSCGCGGACCCTCGGTCGGACCCCCTTGATGACATAAAAAAGGGGGATAGTCCCGCCGAACCCTCAACCCCTTTGTTCGCTCCCACGCCGCTCCGCTGCTCCGCTCTGGCCTCGACCCCGGGATCCGCCTGGTGAAAGTTCAGTACCGTAACCTATAGGGCTAAGCCCAAGCCTGAGACCAGCAGGCGAGGCTTCGCCTACAAGGTGGTACCGCACAGCGCTCCGGGCCAGGATACCGCTCCGGCCACTCTTTCGACCCACATTCATACCCACGGCCCCTAAGCGTCAACGCCGGGCCACCGCCCCGCGCCGTGGCCGTCCCATGCACCTACCGGCACGCCAATCCTACCGTCGGTCACGTGCGCCGACCAAAAACGGACCTTCATCCCCTAATCAATCTCGTGGCTTTAGTATGCGTCGGCCGACTACCCCGGCCGCCCACTCAATCAGAAAAATCACACGCACGCCTTAAACTTGCGCGCCCACGTACCCCCTACCGGGACAAGGCAGACCCTTGCCTACGTGTGGGTGACCCTCACAATTTCCCGCACGGGCACTCAAGATCCAGGTTAACCAAGCCTTTCTGTCACTTGCAAAAACCAGGGCGGATACCCTTGTAAGGGTACTCGCGCCGACAGCTTACCGGACCATATTAAGCGACGTCCCCGTCGCGTCGCCAGATCAAAAAGCTATAAACTCCCTCACATTCCAAATGCTGACGAGATCAGAACCAATCCGATTAGCCGACAGACATCAAACCGTGTCAACATAACTATATGCTGCCAGGGTTTCACCCCGGGGTCTCCATTGTCCTGACACCAGGACGCCGATGTATTACGCGTCAATACTACAGCATAAGTTCCAAAGGCCCTCAAACCACCCTCTTCCCCTTTGTCCGAGACAATCGCCGGCCTCTCGCTAGGTGTCCTAGTTAGCCTCTTTCTCGTAGACAGAGCCGTAACTAGGGACGCGGGCTTTGAATGGGACCTATGAAGACATTCTTGCCTTCTTTCAGCAATTTTCTTGCCATCAAGCAAAATGCATATATATAACTTATAGCCTCTCTCGGCCCTTTCTGCAGTCTAGTACAAAAATGTCAGGTCTCCATCTGATCCCACCATCGCCTGGTTGATCGGGCCAGGTCTACGGCCCACCGCATTGTTACCTTAACGGCAGTATCCTCCCATTGGTTATACAATGGCAGGTATATCCATGATAATCAATCAATCAGGGCTTCCAAAAGACTCGACTCTTATCCCGCAAGGTAATTTCCCTGGGGCGGGCAACTCCCCTTAAACTCTTACCTTGCGGGCCCAGAGCCAGGTTGTGTCGGCTAGCAGTCATCCACTAGGGGTTGCGCCCAAGTGGCACTAAGTTTTACCGTTAGCTTGGTATTCCTTTAAATATGTCTCAGAATTAGCACAGGTGGCCAGGCGGGGCGTCACAAACAAACTCACAGGCCGCTGCGGGACTACGCAGGGGTCTGAAGGCATTTACCGGCCCTTCTATAATAGGCACGGTATCCTTCGCTCAATCACAAACCATCCCTGCCGGATTCACATGGCCGCGGCTCCTGACTTGATCAGAGCCAGCAGCCGCCCATCCTGAGGCATTTCTCGCCCTTTTTAAATGCTTCAAGCAAACATGGTTCCTTCTCGTCAGACTTTATCAATACAAACAATGCTTTCCATACCAGTCAACGTTTTACTCGCCCTTACTTTAGTAAGGGGCGCCTCTCATAAAAGATTTCCCGGCCATCCTCTTTATGGGATGACTCCTCACCCGACCTTTTCCAGAACCATGAAGGGGCCTCCACAGAATGCAATTCCCACCTTCCAGAACTATGAAGGGGGTCTTAATCATCAAACAATTCAAGCTGAGGGACCACCTTCTGGATCCCTACACAATTTAGGCAACGATGTTTAGTATAACCAAACATGCAAATTCCTAAATTAATTAATCCCGTAGGATTTTCACAGTTTTTCACAAACAGGCTGCACTCCCCCTCCTTATACTCTGCCCTCTCGTCTGCTCGCAGCGGACCGCACGAGTATACCGGAGGGTAGGCAACTTTACAATTTACACAATCATGCCTATGAGATGTATCATGTACATCTCTCACACAAAGCCAAACATTCATCGAGATAAATCCACACATTTGAGAGTGAATGTGATTGTCACAAGACAAGTCCCATAGGATCTCAACTCATTGTACATTCAGGGAGTAGAATGCCTCCCTCAACAATCGAATACGAGCACTCAACTCAATGCCCTGCCTGTCCGAGTAGGACTCATAACCCCACTGTACACTCACCAAATACACTCGGGAACATAGCCTCCACCTAACACCCACAAAATACCCAGCCCCTGTCCCCTCTTGCTGGGAAAACTCACATCCCGAGTGCTATAAACTCCCGAATCCCATTCAGAGAAGCAATAGCTTCTGAATCACAAAACCAAATGTAACTAAATGGTCTCATATATCGCACAGCTGAGTCCTACCCCTGGGTCGTAGCCCACGAAGAAACTCAAAAGGAAACAAGCGAACAAAAGTCAAACGTATATGTACAATCAAATAGAAACTCATCCTACCACTCCTACGCACACACACATCTAGGATCCGCTCAAGTGACTCAAGACATGTACACCCTTAACCCCGCCCTGTGTGTGTCAAGGATCCCTCGTCCTATCAATATATAGACAGACCGATCCCTACTTACACAATTCCTCCTGGTTCTGCCTATATAACTGAGCCCTGCCCCCATCTGGGGCTCGCTCTACTATCCTGCCTTGCCTGTCATAGCACTTGCCGTTGAATTTTGCAACTCGCCCCTCGGCCTTATCCTCGAGGAGTTCTGGGCAGTCCATGGCTCTATGCCCTTCCTCCTTGCACCAGAAACAGGAGGTATCGTGCCACCTGGCAGTCTTCTTCTTTCTCCCTTGCGAACTCGATGCCGAAGGCGTCCCCATGGTCTCAGAAGTCACCTCGTGACACGAGGGCAACCCCCCATGGCCCTGAGGTTTGGGCTTCATAGCCTCAACACCTCCACCCCTTCGTGCAGCCGCACTCCCTGGCCCGCGCTCTGGCGTATCCAACTCTCGGGGTCCCTCTTCATGCGCCCTCTCTGTCATCATCGCCTCATCCCTACATACTCCTGACGGCTGAGAGCCCCCTATAGCGGCGGGCTCACTCATGACCTCCTGCTGCTGTTGCCGTCTCGAGTTAGGCCCTCTTGAGTCGGTCCCCGTGGCCCAGGAGCCTAGCTCCGCCCTCAACTCCCCCAACCTCGGGGCATGCTCTGGAGCGTCGAGTCCCTGAGGCCCCTCATGTGGAGTGCCTATCCCCATGGCTGCCGCCACCTCATGCAAGCGCGAACCTCTCCTCTCCGTGGACATAGCCATAAGCGACTCTTGCGTGCCACTCTCCTCCTCGACTGCGTCCAAGGGCGCCTCCTCCATTGGCTCGGCTTGTCGAGGGACCTCCACCGCTACTTCCTGACCCGACGAAGCCTGCACCCCTCGGCCCTGGCTATCGGCACTGGCTCGCCCCATCTGGCTAGCCTCCCAGGCTGCCGAGAGCCTACCCACAGCGGCCGCCATCTCCCCAAATCTCCTCTCCCACTCAACCTCTCTAGCCCTGCTCCTCGCCCTCTCCTCGGCAAGCTGAGTAGTCAGGTGCTCCACCTCCAACTCCTTAACCCTAAACTCATTGCTGAGTAGATTATACCACTGGAAGGATGTGACTGACGTCTCGCATACCCTCCGATCCATGCGCTCAATTGCCTGCCTGGTCGCGGAGAACCCCAAGTCCCCCATCTCTCTCAACTCACTCGTCTCCTCGTCCGCCTGTCCTGCCTCTCGTGACCTTTGGCGGGCTGCATCCCTCTGGCTCTCATACCTAGCCCACAACTTGTCGATCCTCTGCTCACTCGTCTTGGGCTCGATCGACGGTGTCGGCTCTATCCCCGTCGCCTCCATCTCAGCCTGTCTTGCGTATATCTCGTCCAGACGGACCCGCACTTGGGCGGACTTCTCTTCGCGGGTCTCTCTTGGGGTTCCTCCCATTCGCGGCCCCTGGTCTCCTGGAGTCGACGCCTCCGCCTCCATCCCTGTGCTTGCGCGCAACACTACTGGCGGTAAGTCTGCTGAAACGGCCTCCTCGATGTCCGGGCTCTTGGTCGCCTGCGTGGCCGAGGGCAAGTCAAGGGGCGCCTCCATCCTCGCTCTCTCACACACACCCTGGTTCTCCGCCTCTGCCTCCTGCTCAGGTATAGTGGTGGCCTCAGGGGGAAACTCCGGGATCTCCTCGCTGCCTGGCTCAAGAATCCCCTCTGGCCATGAACGCTGTGCTGGCTCTGGAGCTGGGGAGCATGGAGGGGTATCGTCCCCAACCGTGATCACCTCTCTCCCCCGAGGTCGTACCGGATACGACCGCTCGGCTACCATCTCAGGGTCCTGCGGCTCCTCTCGGTCTCGCATGTCTGTCTCCATCTCAAGGTCGAGGGGCTCCGCCAATGGCACGTAGCACGCCGGCTCAACTGAGCCCTCTCCCAGCCGTGAGGCCTCCCATTGGGATACATCGAGATGCGTCGCCAAGCTTCGTAACGACGTCTCTCTTGGTATGTCCAACTCCTGCGTTGATGGCAATGGCGAGGGCGGCCTCAACTCCTCGCTCGTAATCCGCCGAAACTCAACCGCCCGGAGGCCACAAGCAGGGAACGACTCCCTTGTCAATGCGGGCTCTACGGGCTCATCCTCTCGCTGGGCCGGGGCTCCCCTCCCCCCTCTGGCCAGCTCCGCCTCGCTCAGTGCCGGTTCCCTTGGCCTCTTGCTTCGCCGCCGCCTCTCAACTCTGGGCTCGTGCCTCTCGTGCTGTGACCGTCCGAACGCCCTCCTAAGCTGGGCCTGACAGTCCTCCCAGTCTCGAGCCCTCTCCTGAATCTGCTTGACCACCTGCTTCTTTGCCCGCCTCGTCCAGATAAGTAGGGCCTGCACCCATTCCCCCTGCGCAACCCGCAGACTCAACATGTAGTGCTCATATGCGGGGATGAACTCATCTGCGTTCCCCTCCTCCAATCGAATGAGCATGCCATCTCGCCCCCTAGGGGAAGCTCTCAATCTCTGCATCCCAGCCTCCACGTCTGGCCAAGTCAGGGCCTCCTTACATATCTGAGCGACCGGCTCCTCGAACCACCCTATGCCCCTCAAGTGGTGAATCCTCTCCGCCACTGACCACCCTCTCTGTGCCACATGTTTCCGATATACGTCCAAGAAGAGCTCAATGTTGTCGTCATCAAACTCAAGCGTAGGCTCCCTCCTATGCGGCTCGTGCTGCTCGCCCCTCCCTCCATCCCCTGGGGCCCCTGGCGTGGCCATGTGTCCCTCCCGCCCCTCTGCATGACTGCCTTCGAAAAGTCAGACCTGCACAACAGGCGGGAGACAACAAGCATGCACACAACAGGGTCAGTAACCGAGCCATCGGCCTAGGGAAATCCCACATACATTCCACACCCATCCATCCCAATCACCCACCTATCTAGCCGTCCGACCTGGGTAATACCTAGGCAAGACTCTATCCTAAACGAGGTCTCATGGCCCCTTACCTATTCCCTGGCCACAAACTTCTTCAGCCTTGTCCCTGATACCCAGCCCTGCGATCCTGCCCCGTCCAGCTCCTCAATTTGGTAGGCCCCAAACTCGCCACACCGCACGATCCTATAGGTTCCCAGCCACCGTTTGTCGAGTTTCCTGGACCACTGCTTTTCCAGCGAGGAGTCATACAGCAGCACCACATCCCCAACCTTCAGTGGATCCTTCCTTATTCGGGTCATCTGGTCCCACCTCATCTTGTCTTCCATGCGACTTCTCTCCACCTGACCAGCGGCCTCTCGTAGCCTTTCTTCAGCGGCCCCCACTTGCCGTGCTCGTATATCGAGCAGTTCCTCAAAGGACAGGTTCACTTCCAGATCCTGGCGCCTCCACGTCTTCATGAAGCTTTCTATGGGAAAGGTGGCATGCCTTCCGTACCATAGCGTGGCTAGCGCATACTTGGTAGTCCTTTTCACTGTAACATTTTCCACGAAGAATGCTGCTCTCAGGAATTTCGGCCACTGGTTCGGCTTCCCTTCAGTCCATTTGGCCAGGAGATTCGTGATGGTACTATGCCCCCTCTCCACAGGCGCGTTTGCCTGGGGGTGCGCGGCAGTAGTGTAATTTGCTACCACGCCGTATCCCGCAAGCAAGGTCCACACCTCGTTACAAGTAAACTCCGACCCCCGGTCCATCACAAACTCTCTGACAAATGGATAACGCAAGTAGTACTCTTTGATGCACCTTGCTAAAACTGGGCCAGTTTTTGTGCGGATAGCCCGACCGTCCACAAACCCAGTAAGGTTGTCCTATGCATCGAAGATATAGTTACTTTCATCCTCCCCAAGTGGCATGAACAACAGGTCCAAGTGTACAACTGCCCCCACTTCCCTTTCCAACCTGGGGTGTAGAGGCTCCCCAGGCCTTGCGCTGACCTCTGCTGGCAAGGCACACAGACTGGCAGTACTTGATGACCATAGTCAACATTTCATCCCAATGGTATAACTCACTTATCTTCGCGCACGTGGCACTAACCCCTCTGTGCCCCCCTGCTATACCATCGTGCAAGGCTGCTATGACATCGATCTGCCAGTTCCTTCCACATACGACCCTCTTAGGGTTTCTAACTTGTCGCTTTATGAACAGATGGTGATCTCTCACTACGTAGAGATGCCTCATCTTCTGGGCTTTGGCACTTGCGTCCCTATCCCTTATTTCGCACGACAGGAGTAACCCCAATTCCTGATAAATTTCATCATACTCCTCAGCACGGAAGACCTCCCTAATCTCTCCCTCTTCGAACTCGTCGTCCTGGCTTTCAGGAATGAGAAGTTCGCCCTCTTCGGAGCTGGCTGCGCTCCTCTAGTCAAAGTTCCCTTGCAGAAGCGTGTTGGTGAGCAAGTACATCCCTCCCATTAGTTGCTCATGCTCCTCTACCTGGGTCGAGCCTTCCTCTTTACCTCCTCCGCTAGACTATGTGTCCTTGCCAATGCCAACCTCATCATCCAGCCAACATCCCTACTACTCCCCCACGGATCTTCTTCCTGGAAGGGTTTGAGGACCAACTCCTCCTTCTGCTCGTACCCCCTTGGTGCTAACCATATAGGATGCGTGACACAGCTAGGCACCCTCAGCGACCACTCATTTATGAGGAGGCGGACATCCTCCTCCTGATCGAAGAACCCGTCAACTGGTGGGGTGTCCTCAATTGACTCTTGACCCGCCCCATCCCAGTTGATACGGCTCAACCCATCTGCCCTGTTCTTGTCCCCGGGAATCCTCTCCAACTCAAAGTTAAACATCCAAATGTAGGTCAACCACCTCGCGATGGTTGGGTCAGATGGAGTATAACTTTTCAGGGAACACGCAAGCGCAGTAGGGTCCACCCTCAAAATGAGTCTCCTGCCAAAGATGTAATTACAGAAGGTCCTTAGGCAATGGAGCACCGCCAACGTTTCTTTCTTGAACTGCGAATAGTTTCTTTCAGTCATATTGAGGGTGGGGCTTTCAAATCTCAGCGGCCTCTCCTTCCCATCAGCATCCGCCTAAATCAGGACTCCTCCTAAGGCAGTTGGCCCAACGTCCGTCTCGACAACGAATGACTTCTCCTCCGTGGCCTCGCAGTTTGGCGCTCCTAGCACCAAACCTCCTTCCTTAAATTCTCTCTTCATCCTTTCCACAACCCTTTCCTGGTCCTCGCCCCAGACCCATTCCTGATCCTGACGCACCAGTTTTCTTAAATGCTCCGTCTTGGTGGCGAAATCCTTCACAAAACTCCTCCAAAACCCGCAGGTCCCGAGGAAGCTCCTCACGTTTGTTATCGACTGGAAGGGGACTGGCCACTCAAGGATCTTGTCCGTCTTCTTCACATCTGGCCTCCGCCCTTTCTCGTTGCAGACAAAGCCCAAAATCGTGGCTTCCCTCATGCAATGCTTCGACTTGGGGCCACTCGCCGTTAGCTTGTGCTCTTCCAGCAGACCCAGAACCTGATCGATATCCTGGACGTGCTTCCAGACAAACCGCCTCACTCCTGGCATCACTTCATCTTCCTCTTTCTCCTTCGGACCCTTGACCGCCAAGTCGTCAATGTAGGGCTGAGTGATATGTGGACTAACTGTCTGCATGACCCTAATCATGTGCCTTTGCACCATTGCCACCGCATTAGTCCACCCCTGAGGTGCCACGCTCATGTGGATCAACCCCCTTGGTGTATGCATCGCCGTCACTGGCCTATCCGGTGGGTACACAGGAAACTGGTCATACCCAGAGTAAAGGTCTATAAGTGAGATTATAGGCCTTCCTGCGCATGACTCTGACACGGCGTCCACGTTCGGCAACCCTCCCGCGTCCCGCACCATCACTGCATTCAATCGTTGCAAATCCTGCACCCACCGTAGCGTTCTGTTTGGCTTGATGAAACAAAACCAGGGGGAAGCATACGGTCCACTGGAGTAATCTGCCACATACGTCCTCATCTTCCCATCCAAGTAATCCACCACCTTCTTCTCCTCATCCGGATTCGGATATCGTGCGTCTTTCAGATTCCATGGCTCGTGTGGGACGGTATGGATTCGTATCATTGGGATCTTATCCACGTCCAACCTCCCACGCCCGTCATCATTAAACGCATACGAGCAATGCCTCCTCTTCATGGTTTCCACCATCAGGGTCCTTTCTTGGGGCGTAAGGAAGCCAGGCTCGCCAATTATCAGCCCTTCCTCATTCTCATTATTGATGCGGCATGGCCCTGCCTGCGCGCGCTCCCGCATACGTCTTATCAGTCCTCGCTCCCGCTCATAGTAGGCTTCCTCATCCTCCGTGACAAGCACGGGGACCGGGCGACACTTCTTGTCTATAGTCTTGTACCGCCTTCGGGAACCCTGCTTAAGCCCTCCCCTAAAAAAGGCCGACTTGTCGTTCGGGCCTGGGCCATAGCAGAGTCTCCCCTCCTTCCTGGGAGCTGATATATCAACTCCACCTCTCCCACCTGAGAGATTTATAGGACCTGCTCTCTCAACGCCTTTATAGCCTCAAGGTCCGCCATATCATGCGCCGCCACCACCTCCATTGCCTTATTCACGTCGTTAAGGCTCAGGGACAACACCTCACCTGCTCCTTCCTCCTCCTGTTCCTCCCGGAGTCTCCGACGCGCGTACTCGGACTCCTCGAAGGTAAAGGAGCCGAGGTTGAGCCTGTTCCTCCCACTTCCGGGCCCTGTGTTCCGGCACTTAAGGATCTCGTAGTTCCCACAGGCCGGATCAGATAAGGCCAGGATCATCGTCCCCTCATGCCTATTGAAAACCAAGGTCTCCATTCGGCAGAGGAACGACCTCCCCAGAAGGATAGGGTGGTCGACATCAGGCATGATGAAGAAGCACGTTCGCGCCCTTACTCTCCCAATCTCCACCATCACATTAGACGCGGTACCGCAGAAAATGGCCTTGCAGTTGGCGCCATGTAACACGCCATGGTCCGAATGGTTGACCTCCAGCCCCAACATGGTCGTGTCCCGCTCCCGGATGATATTCATCTCCACGCCCGTGTCCACCATTGCAATGCTCGGCTGGTCCCTCACCTTCAGGTCCACCAACCCACATGCCACACATTTTCAGTCCTTCCTGGTGCCCGCCTTTGTCCACTCTATCTCCCTGGGCAGAATTGAGCTCAGGTGGACATTGGGCACTAACCTTCGCGAGAGTCGCCCTTTTAGCTCGCCACGAAGCCTTGGTGCTGACGCCAAAATGTCCTTTAAGTTCATCAAATCGTTATGGCCCTCCAGGAGCTTATCCACCATTCGCTCCACGTCAAAACCTTCCTCTAGTCGAACTGCGTACTTTTTCCTCTTTGGCACGCCATCATGCAGGCTCGGCTCCATCCCTCCCTTAGCCCCTCTCTTCTTGGCCCTCTGCTCCGCCCTCCGGTCCTCCTCTTGCCGGAGCTTCTCGTCCTCTTCGTCATCACCCTCATTTTCCTCTTCTTGAACCTCCACCACTTCTTTCCTTCGTTCAGGCTCAGGCTCCTTTCGAGGAGGCGCCCGACTAGGTGCCTGGCTAGGCCCCTGACTGGCGGTAGCCTTGCTTTGGCCCCTAGTCTGCGCGACCTGTGGTGCCCTTCCATGCGACGTAGGGGGCCTGAAGGTCATCCCTGACCTAGGACCTGTCCCAGCCGTAGCCACACTTAGACACCCTTGCGGTCCCGACGATGACCCTGGGCCGGACCCATAGAGCATCACTGCAGGGAGGCTCATTTCCCACTCTCGGGCCTTTTCACACATCGCCCTTAGCCGTTCCTGATACCTGTCGACCTTTGCAAGCAGATCCTCCATCCTCTCGAGGATGGTCGAGGCTGACTCTCTCACCACCTCCTGCGCCTCATCATCGGACTCAACAACTATGGGCTCCTCCTTTATAGTCCCCGCCTTCGGCCGCTGGGTCACTTCCTCATTTCCGTCCACAATCTCCTTGACTCTTACACCCGGGTCTTGCCTTTCCTGCCATATCCTGAACATTGTCGGGGCTGCTAGAGGCCCAGCCGCTGCCCGCCTAAGGGTTTCCTGCCTGATTCCTCCCGGGGTCTTGGGGTCAATGTGCGTTCCCCACCGGTCGTATATATCCCCGTCCATACAGGTGGAGATTAATCCTGCCTTTTCGTCGTCCCGCTGCTGTTGGCAGAATCGTACGGTGTGGACCACCTCGCCACAATGCCAACAAGTTGCGCTCCGCCAGTCGAAGCGGGGCCTCCCATACCCTTGACCCCCTCCCTGGCCACCTTGGCCCCCCTGGTTCTGACCCCCTTGACCATTCCAGCCTCCTCCACGACCTCCACCATTTCCTCCTCGCCCCCGACCTCCCCCTCCTCTACCTCCTTGGCCCCGGACCCCATTGCCCTGCCCGCCTTGTCCTTGGCCTCCTCCCCCGGCCACACTAGCTTGCGAGGCCTGCTGGGAGGACGACGGTTGAGTCACGGGCTGGCTTTGAGTCGCCGGGTAGCTCGGGGGGCCCATACTTGCGGATGGGCCTGAATAGGGGACCATGTGCCCCGGGTGGGCCTGAATCCCTCCACACAAGGCGCAGTGGTTACAACTGGGCCACGGCGTGGATTGGCAATGCGGCACCCAGTGTCCACAAGATGGCGGTGGCCCCATGTGCGATGATCCGGCTGGCGCGGGCGCTGGGGCGGCCGTGGCGACAGGTGGTGGTGCGGCAAGGACTTGGGGAGCCTGCCCTTTCCCTGATCCCTGTCCCCCCAGTAGCAGATTACAGTGCTTCCTTTGGGCCTTAGTCAGGGCTTGGGAGCCCGTCTCCCCTCTGCCGTAGTCTTCGCGCCCTGCCTCCTCATCTCCTACTCCTGACCCCCGGCCTTGGGCCACTGCCACCACTCTCTTCTGTAGTTCTGCTTCGCTATCATACCCAAGTGCCGCCAACACGTCCGTGACTATTTTCTTCACCCCTGGGGTCCCGGATGCAGTAGCATCCCTCTCCTTCCTCTTGCGCCTTTGCAGCCTCATTTGGTGCTGCTCCACCTGGTCCAGGCTCCCTTCTTCCACTCCCTTGTCAATGGTTGCCCAGGTGAGCCTCTCGCTTCCTTCCCCATACTTCGTCAACTCTGTGGCCTCCGAGCCTGTAAGCAGCCCCAAAACTGTAGCGCACTGCGCCTCCTCAGAAATCCCGTGCACTTTCCTCGCCCTTTTTTTGAACTCGTGCACAAACGCCCCAATGGTAGAGAAGTCTTCTTTGGTCATGGCCTTCAAGTCGGTCATGGTCAGCAGGCCGTCCCCGAGCCTATACTTCCTTCGCATTAGGTCTCCAAACTTTGCCCAACTGCCACCGGCGGCGTCCACAACCTTAGTTACTTCTCGATGGTGACTGTGCAAGACATACCTCAGGACCCGCTGGAGCTTGACCTCATTTGACAGTCCCACCAACGCCTGCTCTGTCAGATCCAGCCAATCAGATACCCGATCCCCTTTGAAGTGGAATGTCTCGACCTTTGGGACATTGCTTGGCGCCCTCTCGCGCTTGTCCAAGGCATCGATGAGGTCATCCAGCGTCACAAGCTTCCTCCCACCGTCCGCCATCTCTTCTGGCATCTTGGCCAACCACCTTCGACTTCAATGTTCCTGTTATAAGAGACGATGGGACAGAGGACCCCACTCAGCGACTCAACCTTTCATGACCCTATCGGGTTGACCACCTTAGACACCCCACACTCTAGACCTGATAGGCATTCCTTCTCCTACTTCCCTCGGGCTCACCTAGATAACACCTAACCCCCCCATAGGACTTCCCCACACACTTACTTCATTCAAGCTGTCAACTAAGCCGCCAATCAATCAATCATCCATCCCATAGTCACTTAGATTACCTTACATACATCTCATAGGCCTTCTCTTATTCACTCATATGCCTAGTTTCTCGCTTACTCTCATACCCGGATGTCGTTCCACCAGGGACAATGGTAGGCCTCCGTTATCCTCGGCAATGGCGCCACCTATCGGGCGCATCGGTCTGACACATCGCGCGGCAGCGTGGGACCCTCTCGGCCGCGTCACGCAGGAATTGGACCAACCTCGTCGCGAACACACAAAAGGAGCTTCCTTAGGCCGCTCCAGCCGAGTGCGCCAGCCATACCTCTCGTGAGCCCCTACGACAAGATAGGGCCTACGCGAGGCACAACTTACCTCCACCTTACGGGAGCTGTCACCTCCCTTCGGTGGGCGTATCCTCGCCGAGCTACCAGTCCACAATACGAAAGCTACTCGGTTGCAATCGCAGAGGTGGACCAGCCGAGGGCGTTTCTCGTTCGTTGTAGCATAGGGGGTACGCGCGGTAATACGCCTATCGGACCCGCACACGAACCGACATCTTGGGGGGCTGAAGTCCCAAGCGCGACTCGTTGTCGGTCGACTAGGACGCATCCCATACCCCACGCGCACACCACAACCACACGACCACAACACGCACACATACACACGGAGCGACACAATGCAAACAACGCGGCAATGCTTCTAGCCCCTCGGTAGCCAACCCATAACTTCTCGACGCGGAAATAGGATTAGGCGTCACGCGCGAAACTTAGTATAAAAATCGCGCGGACGCAGGGCTAACTCATATCGACTCGTCATGCAAGCGCACGCAAGCGGTCGCAACGATATCGTACCACGTGGTACCCATACTCGTGCGGTCCTCGTTTATCTCGAGGGTCGCGTTCGACACTCAAGTGTCGGCTGACACACGCCTTGAGGGTTAATCTCTCAACGCTGGACAACCGCCATGCGCGGTTGAAGACCACACACTCTCTTCTGCACCCTTATGCAGAGTGGGTGGTACACAGGCCCATCCCTGTGGTATAGGTCGTCTCTCGCGGCCCTAGGGGTGAGTCCTCCCCGGGGCCTGGGCGAAAGTCAAGGGGTTTGACTTTGACGGCTGCCACGGACTACAACGTCCAACCATGAAAATCCCTAAGAAGCAACAAGACTCGCACGAACCCAAGAAGAGGGGATAGGGCAAAGGTCTCCTGGCCCTTAAAACAAAAACTCATGGCCTTGGGACACACTTCCCCTCTATGGGCGGTGCCGGCAGCCTATAATAATCCTAAGCGCTGCGCCTACGCGCAAGCCCGACGGTCCCATAACTTTTAGACGCCGGGGGGGCGAGGCGTCGCGCGCAGGGCTTTGATATAAAACTGCGCGGCCGCAGGCCAACCCTATGCCAACCAGTGATACCAATCATATGTAGTAACCGCGGCTTAGGCCTCGCGATATTGAATGGCTGAAGGAACTCATTGGGAGGGGTTACCCCTCACGATATTGAACGGCTGAAGGACATGCCGTTCGGCCCTCGCGACGTTCCCGCCTTTCAGGTGGAGTGTCCCGCCGACCAAAGTAAATAGGCTCCATGCAAGGGGAGATCCCTCCTCTTCAGGGCCTAGGGTTTGGGATGTCCTGGACAAGGACCTCGAATCCCGGCCCAGGACCAACGTCCGACTAAGAAAGCTCCAAAACGCGGTCTTCCCTGTCCCTCAATCCCAACTCTCACGCAACTGTTAGCATGGCCCTTTTGGCCCCCCCGAACACTCATCATACGTATATCCACGCATACATACAGAATGGGGGATAGAGTTATGACGATCACTTCTCACAGGCACAGTGAGACTCCTCACAACCATGTATATGTATATAAAATAGCAGGCAGTCCAAATCAAAAATCCGAGCCACATGACATACCTGCAACCACACCAAGAATCAAGCGACAAAACACGCACTACACGGAGTCAACCCCAACCATTCTCTATGCTCATACCCCTTCGCTTTAGCCATGCAAGACCCAACTGCCAGCCCAATCAACCTCAGTTAAATACTCAGTACCTTTGTTAAATGGCCATTCAATAAAAGTCCGTGTGGAACCCTTAACAAATAGTAAAAACCACCAGGGCTAAAGCCTTTTAGGTTGAGTATGGGGAATGAGTTGAAATTGAGTCGAAGGCTGACGAATCGGCAACCGACCTGTTATCAGTAATAACAGAAGACGATCCTCCAGGGATCAAGTTGAATCTAGTCTTGATCTTGAATCGAACGATCAAGACGACCTGTAAAACATGACAGGCTAATCCCCAAGCTGAGATCACGAGCGCATGGAGAATACAACTCCATAACATATTCTCACTCAAATCTTCCTAGCTAGCTAAGCCTGAATCTACCTCGAGGCGGCGCCCAAAGCGAAGGCAGACCCTGGCTAAATCTCCCCTATTAAGGGTGGATCGCCAGAATCGCCATCTGTCAAAATATAATCTAGCTTCTTTAAATCAAGAAAATTTCGGCAGCGCTTCCCGTAAGAAAAGTGTCTCTCCAAAGTTTATATCAGCCCAAATATAAAAACAAAAATAATCTTCAACTCTGAAAAACCAGATTCTATCTAACTCCCTGAATTAGTAGAAATTTGGATAGTACTCCCTTTAGAAAGGGAGACTTCCCAAATTTATACTAGGTCAGATATGAACTCACAAGGCAACTTGAGTTTAACTTAGACAAGTTTTGACTAACTCCTTAGTTTTGCATAAATTTCGGCAGCACTCGCCCTAGAAAAGTGCTTTCCCAAAATTCATACAAAGCCAAGCTTAGAACCTGAGACTAACTCTGACATCCCAAAGCCCAATTTTGTCTAACTCTCTGAATTAGGAAAAATTTGGGCAGCATTCCCTTTAGAAAAGGAGGCGTTCCAGATTTTTACTAACTCAGATATGACGAAAGGACGAGCTAAACTTTGGCAAGTCAAAATTTATCTAACTCCTTGAATTTGTTGAAATTTTGGCAGTGCTTCCCGTAGGAAAAGTAGCTTACCAGAATTTATACAGGTCCAAGTATAGTAACCAGCCTCAGGAAATGCAAAAATCGGTCTAAGTAAAATAAAGTCAACTCAGCAAATGCAGAAATTGACCTAACTCCTATCGCTCTAGCACGTGGCGAGCCTCTAAAGCAACTACCTGTCAACCTGAAACCCAGACCAAGTAGTAGTCTCACTCAGCCACATGCAGGYCAAACCACAAAGGTAAGTACTCTCGYCATTCCCAAGTTCTTTCAGCAACCAGTAGTTCAYGCTTTCTCAGTGAGTTACCCCTTTATACCCAACTTACATRAGACATMAGTYAGGGCACCTGAACTTACAGAGYRCSCCCAACTTASCCAGKCCCAAAGTCAGAATACCTAAACTTATAGAGCGTTCTGACTTGGCYAAGTATACACAAACAGAGGGCACAACTACTTCTCTTCTTCTTTGGGCGTGTGACYARACCACTCTAGTYGCCCTAAACTGTTTGMATARCCAAATTGTATATACCTCTCTGAACTTAGTCTTCAAAGGGACATAAGGCTGAGCCGCTCAACTTAGAACATTGCTCAGCCTGTCCACACTTACCTTCAATTATATCTCTTAATTATACTCTCTTTAGTTGTGATAAGCTATAGTCAGGCTACCTAAACTTATAGAGCGGCTTGACTAGCCTGTTCTTAATAGCATAGTAGTACAATATAGCCAAGTTATATGTATTGGGTTCCAACATTTGCGAGGCATTGGGTGAGGCCACCTAAGCTTATAGAGTGGTCTGATCCTCATCTAGGTTTGTTTCTCTCTGAAACAGAAGAAGGGCTACCTAAACAGAAGAAGAGTTTATAGAGTGGTCTGATCCTCAGCTAGGTAGTGAGACAGGATACCTAAACTTATAGAGCGGCCCGTCCCTTGCCAAGATTATTCCCTCAAAACAAAACAGAAGAAGGGCTGAGCCACCTAAACTTATAGAGCGGCTCAGACCTCCTTGTTCAGAACCAAAGAAACTGAGAGAATCCCAAGTAAACGAGGCAACCCAAGGCACCTAAACTTATAGAGCGCCTTGGGTCCCTGAAACCCACTCAYAGTCAAATCCYCACAAGTCAGAGCAGTCAGGAYACCTAAACTTATAGAGCGTCTTGACCCTCCATACAGTTCACAGCACCAGGTCTCCCCAAACTTATGGGGCCATCCCACCCTCCAGAGCTTCAGGCTACCTAAACTTGTAAAGCGGCCTGAGGCTCCATACAAACCAAGAATAAACAAAGTGTCGAGCTTCCCCAAACTTAAGGGGACCTCCCATCCTTAGTGACCCAGTCAATCTACACACAATACTGCCTTCCTCCCAACCTTCCCCCAGATGCAACCCACCTCATTCACAATCTGCCTTCAAGCAATCAACAAAACTGAAGCTGAGATTGCACACACACTCCTTTACTTCAGTCTGACTTAGGTCCTGACAGCCAAACCAAAATCAGAGTACAGGATCCACTCAATACGCTCAATCAAACATAGAGAGATGTACAGGTAGGGGTTATAGTTGGGTTTATAGAGGGAGTCAAGGGATTACCACTCAGTTCCCTGCCTCCAGGACTCCGCCTGAGCCCCGGCAGGGCTCCCGCAATCGGTGGGACCAGCCTCCCACAGAGGCCTTGGCGTGGATTACGGGTCACACGTCCGCCTGCCGCCTTCCTCTTAGAGACAAAGGACCAGACTTTAGAGGGAGAAGGACAGAGGGAGAAGGGATAAAACTCTCAGTTAGAAGAGTAAAATCAGACTCGCGCGAGAGGGTCTTCAAGTCTTTGGCGCCTGAGGGCCCCGCAATAATGGCCAGAGGCGCAGCAACTCAGTCAGA